AATCCTGTCAGGAAACTGTCATTAAAGAAAATACTTTTCTTTCTAACTAGAAACTGAGCTATCAGAAAGACGATTGAAGACTAAATAGCTGAACAATTACAGAATAACATTTCTCAGTGCTTTTCTTTCAAGAGCAGAAACATGAGTAATGTACAGTACTCCTCTCACTCTCTCTCAAGTTGCAGCTTATAACCAACTTGAAATTAGAAAAGACCCAGTTTTTCTCAGTGTACTGCCCTTAGCTCATTACTTCTAGAAGAAAGTAAGCCATTATGAGTTTGTTCAAACCAGGGCTCATGGGCTGAGCCCTGATGCCTGGTGCGTACCCTGTGGCAAGCATGTTTGCCTCTGCCCCTAAACCTCTCTCCTGAGGGCAGAGGGCAAAAGGGGGTTACCTGGCTCTTTAAAATAATTTAGACTATATGTTGTATTTGAGAACCTTCATGTGTACTGGGTCTATATGCAGATAGCCAGCGCTTTATTCAACAGCTTTTTTTCGTGCAAGTATGTTCAAACTAAGACCAGTAACATGAGCTCTTGCACTGTGTTTTTATTTGTAATAAAGTATTCAAAAATTCCCTGTAAAAAAGCTGTGTTTTGCTAACTCATCAGAAGTGCTACACTGCAAAAAGGGTAGCCCCAACCAAGAGGGGAGATGAAGAATATTGCATTCCGCTTTCCTTTAAAATCACACTAATATTACACCTGGAGAGCGCTTTTCTTCCTGGTATTGTTTTCACTGTGGCTTACGGGAGATTTGCCATTGACTTTCATGGGATCAGACTGTCGTCTTTAATCCAACACCTTTCTCTTTAATCTGCTTGTTTACAAAAGAGAAACTTTTGCCAGCCAACCACTTCTGATAAGACAAAGGTAGTGAAGAGATGTAGTGAGAGAAGAAAAATGAACTTTCATGCTCAACTACTAGAACAGAAATGTGCCTATTACAACAGCAAAGAGCCATTAGTAAGAGAAGTAATTCTGCTCGCAGTAAAACACGGTCATCTACACAGAAGCATGACACTGCTTAACAATGGCCAAGCTGGGATGCACAGTACGAAAAATACAAGCAGCTCATAAAGGCAGGTGCCTTCTCCCAGAAACCATTTACGGACAGTTAAAGCCATTGGAGAAAACTTGAAGGCAGAGACTGATCAGCAGTCCTAAATTACTTTATTCTACAATGACGATATATAATAAAAATACATAATACATACCGTACAGTGTTAAAAAACAATCAGCGTGCCAGGTCAGGCCTAGTCCCTGCTGAAGCCCCACTTTGATCCTGCGCCCATGAGAAGGCAGCTCCCGCGCCCCAATTAAAGGGAGCCACCAGAACAGCTACACGTCTCTTTCTGCTAAGTCGTCATGCCTGGAAAAAGGTATCCTGCCCGTGCTAAAACCACACACGTATGCCTTTCCCCCAGCAGAAGCTACCCTGTTAGCACTTTCCACTGGCAATAAAGCTCCCAACAGCAGGATGCTGCGTGCGACGGCTTGAGCCCAAAAGTCCTAAAGAAACTCCCAGCTCACGCACTGTCCCAGACACAAGGAAAGAAAGGTGAAAATGCCCCACGATGTCAGAGCACGGCCAAGGAATTCACTCACCATCACCCTACCAATAACGCAGCCCGGGCTCGGGTGCAGGCTCAGCCGGAGGGGAAGTCAGCTGCCAGCAAACCCAGGCACGCTCCGCTCCCTGGTCTGTGCGGGGCACGGGTGAGACACAGCTCTTATTATTTCCATTTCGAAGGGGCAGCTTTCATTTCTGTCCAGTTCCTGTTCGTTAGTGCCCGCTTGCGCTTGCTGAGACAGCTGAATGCCTTTGACTGACTGGAAGACTCCACTGATGTTGCAGCTGTAAAATCCAAATATAATGAAAGTTAGTAAAGCCTGAGGTTGGCAGTGGGCACGGCAAAGCAAAACACTTAGAACCAGCTCATTTTGCCAAAGGAATCAAGAGCATTAGCAGTACAAGTGTGAAAAAGCCCTTCTGGAGTTTCTAATGCTCCACATAGACATTTCCAACCCATCTGGGAGGATATCTGCAGTCCAGATTTAAACCTCATTTGGAAATCATGCCTGTCCCATCTTATAAAGCAAACCAAAGTTATATAGCGTACCGAGTATTAAAATGTGTACTTCACAGCCTGAGCTTTTATGCGCTCTACTTTTCATTCCTAGTGTTTCTCCATGATATGAATTAATGAACTCTGGACTTTACTGTAGTAATCAAGGAATATGACCTTGCAATTATAGTACTGCAGTATTGTTTAAAAAAATGAGTGTCAGAAAAAAGATGCAAGCCTAAGCATAGGCCAGGCTTGAGTCCTAATCCTGCCTTTGCAGCTCTGTAATGCAGTTTTGCATGAGGCTGGGGATTTCTGTGCCTCATTTTCTGCATCAGAAGGATATGACTACTTACCTACTTGATGGAGTCAGAAATGCTTATGAATTTATAGTCCCATATGTCTTTTGAAAGTTCTTCAGTGATTCTAGAGATGAAAAGTAAATTTTTCCACTAGATCTCCTAACCACATGAGTATATTTTATTGCTAAGTTGAAGGTTTTCATTTTCAGATTCATCCAACTGTAAAATAACTATACATTTGGAAAAAATCAAAACAATGTACTTAATTTGTTCACGGTCAGCTTTGGTTAAACCTTAGTGGATTATTCATAAAAGCCTAGAATTGGATCCTGCTATTACAGTGGGATAGGCAAAAGGCTATTGGAGACACAGTCTTTTGTATCCTAGACAAAGAAAACAAACCTTTTGTCCACCAGACCTGGCTCTTTTGATTCACTAATTTTAAATGACACAGTGACTCTCAGGAAAGCATGGTCATTCTGCTCCAGAGAAAGGAGCTGCAGCGTAATAAGAAAGGACAAAACCGTTAATATCAGACCCCTCCTGGAAATGAAATGCCTGCTCTGCAGCATGAGCATTAAAAAAAAAAAATAACGTGTACAATTCTAACCCCACTAAAGTCAATGGTTAAACTCAACAGAGCTAGGCTTTTACTCAGCATGTTTGAATGAGTTATTAAACGAACTTTAGTTGTCCCTAAAAATAAATGTACTGTGTGGATCTAAGTGCAGCTGATGAATAAGAAACCTCGGGAATCTAGCAAATACAGTAGTTAGGGCTAAAACCAGAGACAGCACAGAAGGCTGCAGAAGAGAGTAGCTATTAGTGGCCATCTGAGCTTTATGTTGAATTTCAAAGTCTCTCATGCCATCTACTGGCTTTTTTGTTTACTAACAATGGCTTAAATCTTTTTCCTCCAGGTTTATTTATAGGTCTGATACATTCCAGGCAGTTTTATATAAATTCTAATCAAGGTTTGGGGTGGGTTTTTTCGCTCTAACCTCCACACTTGATTACTATGTGTTTTTTTTCCTGTAAGTACATTACAATTCTGTACCTTTCTGAACAACATTTCACATTGTCCCTGGAGAAAAAGACATTGCCTAAGACATTCTCATTTCTGTTATTGCTGGATAGGCAGTAATTACATTGCAAGCAGGGCTGGGAGAACAGTTTACTAAGAAAATCCAAAGCTGTTTGAAAACTGCACTTACAGTTCTTCCTCAATCAGTGTGAGATGGTTGTTATTTTGGTACCTGAAAATGCTTTAATGTACCGAAAAATATCTGGTTTTCCCTGTTTTTCCCCTGGCAGTTCACTTAGCTGTAATTCACAGTGAACACTTGTATGTTGTAATATTATTAAGTTTACTTTCAGATGGGTTTTGGAAAGCAGGAATTATATATAGATAGATCTGATCACAGCACTTCCCTTCATTATCTGTAGCCTGTTTCTTCCTGACGTCCCAGTTTCCCTCCCCTATTTATCTGTGTCCACCGGCCTGTTCAGCTTCTCTCAGCAGGTCAAACGTGGACACCTCAGCACACCTTCCCCCAGCTCCGGGGGGAGCGGGCAGCCCTGCAGCTGTGCACCGTGGCCCATCTAGAAGCTATTCAGGCAGCTTCAAACTTCACATTGCACCCCATGTTAAAAGATCAGCCTGCTGAAGCTTTTGGAGCTCTCCTCTCTGTGCTTTCCTTCTGCAGCATCTT